TGATAAGAACTATTTTCGCCTGGCAATTTTGTTACCTGCATACTCTACTAAATCTCAAAATCTATGGATATATCTAGTTCTTTTTTTTTCCTAAAACAATCTCTAGCTTCTCATTCAAATAATCAAACATAATTTTTGAAAAATGTCACATTCCATAGAATAAACTTAGAAACTGTCAACCCTGAACCCCTCTGTTCAAACCGCAGTCTCACAAGGTTGAAAACACAGAAACAGACAAAAGACAGTTTTTCTCAAGGTCTTGGTAAGTGGCCAGATGAGTGTTTACAGTCCTTGCATTTGCTGACGTGCTGGTTTGCTGCTGTCCGTTCTTAGCTGCTTTATCCTACGCCTTTGATCAAAATCAGATTCTTGTTGTGTTCTAGCCTAGCTAAGGGATCCATTACCAGTTAGGTATTTCCTTTTCTATTGATGATTCTAAGCATGATAACTTTAGCTAATACAAAGTCATGTATTGTGGAGTATTAATTTAAACGACTTTAACTGCCACCATTCATTTCTCTCCAGTGAATAGCTAGATTTTTGTCCTTAATTGATAAATAAATTGGGAGGGGGATGAGAAATTAAATTTCTATGAGAATCGCTTCAGCGTTAATCCCAGCAATTTTGCAGCTGTAATTTGATATAGAGACCGAATTATTTATTCTGGTACCAAGAAAAAGTGAAGGGGACATTGCCAAGGCCTCCCTTAGTGACACAATCCTTCCCATGAACATAATCATCCCCAGAACTGTCATCTATTTCAAATGATTAAAGAAAGAAGAATCTGTATGTAGATATATTTCAGGGTTTTTTGTTAATAGAAAACACTGAACATAACAGAGCACTATCCTCATTTTGATTTTTACTGCAAAACCATTATATGAATATGTCGGGTACTTCCCGGGATGAGGAAATACTTAGGTATGAAGAGTTTTTATGGCCTCCATGTTAACTCGCATTCCCTTTCATACATGAGTTTCTGTCAGTAGACTAAAAACTCAGAAACGTAAACTCTAATCTGTAAAAAATTTGATGAAAGGTAGTTATATGAGCAGAAGTCATACAAGCATTTGGGTGGAGGCATCTTAGAAGGTCAGAGCAGTGATGATGGAGGGAAAACATGTCACACAATTGACAGATAACTTTGCCAGAAGTGAAGTTTGATGAAACAAGCAATTGGAATTATCACTGCTGTTTCAATGAAGCTAAAGTACCACGGAGAGACTGGTGATAATGGCACCATAATTAATGCTTATGTTATGAAATATTTGTATTTTATATGTAAAGATGTCACTCTGGCAGAGTGTCCTCATGAGACAGCTGCTAAAAGGCGGTCTAGTGAGCTCTCACGATGCAAAAAGCAGCGTCAGTGGAACATAATTCTGTTGAGGACGGTATAATTTCTACATTGTTAGCCATTTACGGAATAAATATATGCAACCAAAGGAAAATGGCTGTCGCCGAATCTGTTTTTAAGCCAAACCTTTTATGGGTCATGAGTTTTTTAAAATGCGTATCCCAAAAAGTGGTATTGCAAGTGGAGGTAGTTTCAATGGTATGTCTTTCTGGGAGAAGATAGAGAGATTTCGCCCATCACATGCCTGTGCTAATGTGCTAACACACGTTCCCAAATGAATGTGAGGGGGAACATAATGAGATTACATTTCCGGTTTATTTCTATATGCATAAAAAGGGCACCATTTTGTATCTCCCACATGAAAATAACACTACTGAACTAATATTATCACGGCAGTTGCATACTATTACATATTTAACCAGTAAATGTATATTTTAACCGATGAATTTTTACCTATTTATAAAACTCACCCACTCATCTCCCAACACACACACACACACACACACACGCACGCGCACACGCACACGCACGAGTCCTCTTTGGGATGGTTGACATGTATTTCCATGACAGCTGGCTGAGTTTAAGGTGTAAGCAGTGGTCCTGGAACTCACCCACAAGCTAGTTGACCCATGAGGAGACTGACTCTGTGACACTGGCATTATTAACATCAGATACTAAGCACCTAAGGTCATCACCCAGAGCCCCACTCTGATGTTAATGTCCCCGCAGTCCATGTCAACA